CAGGGTAGGGGTAGGGGTAGGGTAGTGTAAGGGTAGGGTAGGGTAGGGTAGGGTAGGGTAGGGTAGGGTAGGTAGGGTAGGGTAGGGTAGGGTAGGGTAGGGGTAGGGGTAGGGTAAGGTAGGGTAGGGTAACTAGGGTACTAGTTACCCTACCCTACCTTACCTTACCCTACCCTACCCTACCCTACCCTACCCTACCCTACCCTACCCTACCCTACCCTACCCTAGCATGCAGGGTAGGGTAGGGTATGGTAGGTAGGGTAGGGTAGGGTAGGGTAGGGTAGGGTAGGGTAGTGTAGGGGTAGGGTAGGGTAGGGTAGGGTAGGGTAGGGTAGGGTTGCGTTCAGTAACATCTTAACTTACAAAGGGCCCGAAGAACTCGCATGCGTCACCATCATACTTTACAGTTCAATTAAAAGCAGTTACCCACTTCTACAAAAATCATACCAATAAAAATGAAAGTTTCTACACCCAAACTAATGCATCCGTTAATCATACATATCAAAACATACAGTTATCGCGCAAACCTGTACCTCTAGGTAGGGTAGGGTAGGGTAGTGTAGGAGTAGGGTAGGGTAGTGTAGGAGTAGGGTAGGGTGGGGTAGGGTAGGGTAGGGTAGGGTAGGGTAGGGTAAGGGTAGGGTAGGGTAGGGTGGGGTAGGGTAGGGTAGGGTAGGGTAGGGTAGTGTAAGGGCAGGGTAGGGTAGGGTAGGGTAGTGTAAAGGTAGGGTAGGGTAGTGTAAAGGTAGGGTAGGGTAGTGTAAAGGTAGGGTAGGGTAGGGTAGGGTAGGGTAGGGTAGTGTAGGAGTAGGGTAGGGTAGGGTAGGGTAAGTGTAGGGTAGGGTAGGGTAGGGTGGGGTAGGGTAGGGTAGGGTAGGGTAGGGTAGGGTAGGGGATTTTAGGGTAGGGTAGGGTAGGATAGGGTAGGGTAGGGGATTGTAGGGTAGCGTAGGGTAGGGTAGGGTAGGGGTAGGGTAGGGTAGTGTAGGGGTAGGGTAGTGTAGGGGTAGGGTAGGGTAGTGTAGGGGTAGGGTAGGGTAGGGTCGGGTAGGGTAGGGGATTGTAGGGTAGGGTAGGGTAGGGTAGGGTAGGGTAGGGTAGGGTAGGGGATTGTAGGGTAGGGTAGGGTAGGGTAGGGTAGGGGATTGTAGGGTAGGGTAGGGTAGGGTAGGGTAGTGTAGGTTAGGGAAGGGTAGGGTAGGGTAGTGTAGGGGTAGGGGTAGGGTAGGGTAGTGTAGGGTAGGGTAGGGTAGGGTAGGGTAGGGTATGGTAGGGTAGGGTAGGGTAGTGTAGGGTAGTGTAGGGTAGGTTAGGGTAGGGTAGGGTAGTGTAGGGGTAGGGTAGGGTAGGGTAGGGTAGGGTAGGGTAGGGTAGGGTAGGGTAGGGTAGGGTACTACCAACAAAACACTTGAACACCCCGCACCTATCACCAACCCTTACAGTTTATCTACTATTATAAATCTTAAAAAGTCCGCCGCCGCCGTCGGGGTTACGCAGTCGGTGTTACTCCCAAAAACGCCTATTGCGGCGCCTATACATGCGAGTTGCATGCGAGTTTGCGGCGCCTATACATGCGCCTATACCCTACCCTACCCTACCCTACCCTACCCTACCCTACACTACCATACCCTACCCTACCTTACCCTAACCCTACCCCTACACTGCCCTTCCCTACCCTACCCCTACCCTACCCTACCCCACCCTACCCTACCCCTTCACTACCCTACCCTACCCTACCCTACCTTACCCCTACCCTACCCTACCCCTACACTACCCTACCCTATCCTACCCCTACCCCACCCTACCCTACCCTACCCTACCCTACCCCTATCCTACCCTACCCTACCCCTACCATACCCTACCCCTACCCTACCCTACCCCTACACTACCCTACCCCTACACTGCCCTTCCCTACCCTACCCCTACCCTACCCTACCCCACCCTACCCTACCCCTTCACTACCCTACCCTACCCTACCCTACCTTACCCCTACCCTACCCTACCCCTACACTACCCTACCCTATCCTACCCCTACCCCTACCCTACCCTACCCCTACCCCACCCTACCCTACCCTACCCTACCCTACCCCACCCTACCCTACCCCTACCCTACCCCACCCTACCCTACCCTACCCTACCCTACCCTACCCTACCCTACCCTACCCTACACTACCACCGACAGTCCAAGTTTCAGCTAAATCGGCCCAGAAACGGCCGAGATATTGCAAACACGAATTAATTGTATTTACTGGCGAATCCCCTTGGCGAGCGGTGCCCTGTGTCGGCCTTTGTTGTCAAAGTTCAATGACCTGCCGGCTCTGATGCTTTTCACTCAGTTTTTTAAGCGAACAACTGAGCCTAAAGCACGTGCCCTCTGCTCGGCGCCGGTCGCGATTCTAATGCTATCCCTATGGCGCACATGAGCACGCGCCACAGGTGCACCCCCGGCCGAATCGTGCCCAAAATTTAATACGACCTGTTGAATTACGTGACCCACGAGTCGTGAAAATTTCACCCTCGTGCGTCAATCGACGGCGCCGCAATAGCCGTTTTTGGGAGTAACGCCGGCTGCGTAACCCCGACGGCGGCGGACTTTTTAAGATTTATAATAGTAGATGGGAAATATTCGATAAATGAAAGCGTAAATCAGCACAGCATATAACACCTTACGCACGGTGGGCTGATATTATAATGTTTAACAAATAGCTGAAACGTCTGAACATTATTCTGATGCTTATTCGAGAATGCAGTTTGCATGATTCCCAAAGCATTATAAAAGAATGGAAGTGCTCCCATACGTACTGAAATGATCGACAAGATTAGATTATTTTGCTGTCTCCTTTAAATATTTTGTTTTCCTCTTCATCTTCCGAAGCAAATGATATGCGTATTTTGGTACGACAGCCGCAATCTCTGCGCTACGGTCACAGCTCCAGCACTCGGATTCCCTGCTCAGCATCCCGCTGCGTTCTCCTCTTGCCCGGTCCCGCTAGACTAGAGAGGAGCTCATCGAACGGCAGGCGATCCGAACGATGATCGATCCTCTACACCTACCCGGCAGCTCGGCCTCACTTTTATGTACATATTTAAACCAGAAAAGACGATCTCTTCGCAACTTTGAATACCAAATGCGCCCGTTATTGGCTTAGGATGTGTCAAACTCTGGAAGATATTTGTTTGTCGGCGTGTAGGCTGCAGGAGCTTTGCAAAATGCCGGTGACTTTGCACTAGATTTATGTTCCATGTGTAATTGTGGGAAGCCGCTTAGTGTCATTGGTTTATCAGTGGTTACATGGAGTGAGGTCAGAAATCCCCTGGGTCAGCTTAGAAGTCATTTCGGGTCAGATCAGTCATGTCGGGCCAGGTCAGTTCAGTCGCTACTAAAGAGTGTTTTTTTGCGTTCATTTGATTCTGAGGCTAGCTTGTTGCAATCCGTAGCAGTTTTCGCAGTAGGTAGGTAATCAGGGCTCAAGGCCCGAAGGACGCAATTTATCAGTTTAGAGTTATTTGACCAATAAGACCTTCATTGTTTGTGTTTTTGTATTTGTTTTTGGCCCCTTTATGGCTGTTTGTCTGTCCGTCCATCCGTTCGTCCGGCCATCAATCCATGCTAGTTTTCTCGCGGCTTCTCGAATATGCATTACATATTCTCCTACCCATAATAAATAGCGTCATTACTGGGCATGTCTTATTTTCTCGGAACTGTGAGATACGTGTATAGCCGGCTGGAGCATTGTAAACGCTATTTTTAACCTATTTAAACACTTTTTTCGACCCTATTTTTAGAAACAGCTCGTTTTGTGCCGTGTGCTACTGAGTCTTTTAAACGGTTTCCATCATGTGGGCGCATGTACCGGGATGAACGTTACCTATTGATTTCTTCTGGAGCCGATGGGATGGAGTGCAGGTAGCGCTGGGAGTACTTCTATATTTACGTCAATGTCACCACACAAGATATTAAATAAATGAACGCGGCAGAAAATGTTGCGAATATATCAGGAGTTTGGTCTGCAGACAATTGACAGTGAGCCGATTACTTTTCAAGTAATTTGGAGTTATCTGACACAGTATTGAGCTAGTTTTCTTTATCTCATGTTCATTGAACAGGGAATATGCAAAAACATGCGCTTAGAAATGTTAAGATGTGACTGGTTTTTCCTCTCGGTGCGTCAAGATAATGAGTTTTGTGCATTTTAAAAGGCGTACGTAAGCATCAATAGGGCAACATGTTGATGCATTTTATTTGTTTCTGTTTTCCTGTAATTAACTACCTACTTGTGGACTCACTTATATGCGACCTACAAATAGAAACGCGTATCCTCATTCCTACATCCTGCAGTATGTTGCACTAATACTCGCCCCTGATGTCCCCTGCAGGATGACACATGCTGATAACGTGAATATACAGCCTACACATGCGACCAATGACATGTTCTGCTAATACACACCCCTGGTGTACCCCTGCAGGGCGACACGTGCTGCTGGATGTGTACAGCCCTCAGCAGACTGCGTGGTAGGTATTCTTTTTTCGTTAATACCTACCGACAATAACTCAAAGGTCATACTATCAATCGGTCGGAACTCACTACAGATAGATGCGCCATGCTCTACTCCTTCGATTAGGTCTATCACTAAACAAAGTATGCGCCTTGTGTGGCAACAAAATGCAAAAGTTTGTTTTGGGGGCAAATATAAACTTTTGGGTTTTGCTGCCAAAATGGATGGAAAATGAGTTGATGATTATGCCAATCTGAGGTACGGAGTAGCGTCTTGCTGTTACGATTTCCGAATGAGCGATTGCATAGTATTTGCCATATTCTCGGTTTTGTCGAAAAAAGAATACCTACCACGCAGTTTGCAGAGGGCTGTACATATGTCCCGCTAATACGCACCCCTGGTGTACCCCTGCAGGGTGATACGTGCTGCTGGGCGTGTATTGTCCCGCTAATACGCATCCCTGGTGTACCCCTGTAGGGCGATACGTACTACTGGACTGTATTGTCCAGCTAATACGCACCCCTGGTGTACCCCTGCAGGGCGATACGTGCTGCTGGATGTGTATTGTCCAGCTAATACGCACCCCTGGTGTACCCCTGCAGGGCGATACGTGCTGCTGGATGTGTGACAAGTGTGAGCCGTTCGAGTTCATGAAGGACGAACACACGTGCGAGGACTGTGGTCACGGCCGGTGGCCCTACCCCGACAAGCTCTCCTGCTACGACCTCGAGGTGCAGTACATGAAGTGGACCTCGCCGCTGGCTATCGGGCCCATCGCCATCGCAGTCATCGGAATAGTGGTAAGTTGGTTGACAGAAGCATGAATCTTGACACAACGCTCACCTTTTGGTTAATTCTTGCTCATCAAGGTTCTTTGTTGTCCCTAAAGCAGGCCATGAAGCATTACTGGCGGAACTGTATTCAGGAAATAATAGTTTCCCTGGACTCTGACACAATACGCACGGAATTAGCTTACGGGACCAGCCTTCAGCGGCTAAGGTTTGGTGTTTTGTTGCAGCTTACTGTGGCGGTGATTTTGGTGTTTTTGCGTCGGGACGACACGCCGATCGTGAAGGCGTCTGGCCGCGAGCTGAGCTACATGCTACTGGCTGGCATCCTCATCTGCTACCTCAACACGTTCCTGCTGCTCACCAAGCCCAGTCCGGCCGCCTGCGCCCTGCAGCGCGTCGGCGTCGGGCTCGGCTTCGCCTTCATCTACAGCGCCCTCTTCACCAAGACCAACCGTATCTCACGCATCTTCGACTCGGCGTCGCGCTCTGCCAAGCGTCCGAGCTTCATCAGCCCCAAGTCCCAGATCGTGATCACGACGCTGCTCATCTCCGTGCAGCTGCTGGCCACGGCCGTGTGGCTGCTGGTCGAGCTGCCCGGCGTGCGCTACGACTACCCGGACCGCGGCCAGGTCATCCTCAAGTGCCGCATCAAGGACTCGTCGTTCCTGGTGTCGCTCGTCTACAACATGGTGCTGATCGTCGTGTGCACCGTGTACGCCGTCAAGGCGCGCAAGGTGCCCGAGAACTTCAACGAGACCAAGTTCATCGCCTTCACCATGTACACGACGTGCATCATCTGGCTGGCGTTTGTGCCCATCTACTTCGGCACGGGGAACTCGTTCGAGGTGAGTCGGGGTCATCGATGATCGATGGATCGGTGTTTTCAGTGGACTAGACTGTTCCATCACTTGTTCGTGCTGACCGAAACTCAGGAAATAATGGATGGCACTATCGGACGGTATGCGGCGTATGCGCCGAGGTCGTAACACAATACCGTGAAGCGGGAGCGTATTATACTGACTGAAACACTGGCACGCTCAGGCGTTGTGACATAAACGACTGGAAGGTACCAACACGCCCCTTCATTATTCGCGGTTGACGTGCCGTAGTATGGTGGTATAATGCCACTGGACAATGGGAGGATGCAGCAGGGCTCTTTGTCATGCTCTTTGATAAACGAGGATAGGTCAAATAAGGGAAAGCTGAAAAAGTCAGCTATTGAGCTTGGTAGCCATTAAAGTTTACGACTATGACCGCCAATGAACGAAGGATCTGCCTTGGCACGTGAGGCTTTCAGCACATTTTTGGATAACACGACCATTTGACAGTAAAACACCTGCAAAACAGCGTAATAGAGTCGTTTTTGCATCTTTTTTTCGTTTTTATTGTTTTGCTTGCACTAGTTGATCGCGTCTCAGCCATAAATGAGAGCGAACTTTAGGTTGTTATCTGTGTTGTTTGAGCTAACTTTCCAGTACTTTCCGTCTGACTTCGTAATCGTTTCTAGAGTTGGAGATTCTTGAAGCTGATTGCTAAACAATGTTGATCCCACCGGTTCTCAAACAAAACTCCGTGCGTGTTTCAGGTTCAGATCACCACGCTGTGCGTGGCCATCAGTCTGTCGGCCTCGGTGGCGCTCATCTGCCTGTACGCGCCAAAGGTCTACATCATCGTCTTCCACCCGGAGAAGAACGTGCGGAAGCTGACGATGAACAGCGCGGCTTACAGAAGAGCCGTCTCCAGCTCGGCAGCGCCCTCCTTCAACCACGGTGAGCGCTGCAGATGTGACTAGACAGTACGCTTGAACAGAGCAGCGCGGACTTTGCGTGACGGATATCAGTCTCTGGTATATTATTTGCTTTGCATAGTTGTAAAAAATACACTGAATGGCTAATTCTAGGAAATTATTTTTAGAAGTAAAGAGATAAAAATTTTGCATGCCTATGCATGATATTAATTTTGCTTTACGAGTGACAACAGAAAATCAGCATAAGTTGCGTTAAAATCTTATTTACAATGCAAAGCAAAGTACGATTATTTTTGCCGGCTCTGAATTTCATGTTTTGCATTTAACCCGCGCCCCGTGGGGGGGGGGGGGGGGTAAGAGGGGTACCTGACCGGTGGGGCTATCCAACGCCGTTTGAATTTTGAAAATCGGCCGGTAAATTTCCGAGATGTCAGGGGGGGGGGGCGAAACGCCCGGGTGGTAGGGTCCGCCGATAGCCCTACAGGGCGCGGGTTAAACTAGCATTCACATAGGTGTGCAGCCAAATCTTTTACATCCAAACCTTAAACTTAAAACAGTTAAGTTATTTCAGTTCGGAACAACGTATTTTTTTAACAGACCTTTTCATTTCATGCAATAAAGTGAGATTAGCTGGCACCAAAAGAGGTAAATGGACATGGAGACGTAAGAGACACATTGCCTAACTGCGCTGCATCTGAAATGAGGCAGCTGTCCGAACAACTTTGACAATATGTTCGTCAGGGTATTTAAAATGGAACTAAAACGGCAACTACTGTAATGTCAGGCGTCTGGACCCACTCCGACTGGGTGCAAGTCTGTGTGGAATGCGGATGGATGCATTTGTCCAGCATGTGTGTATAGATAGGCACACATGTGTTTAATTAGATGCTGAGGCCAAAGCTTTAACCTTCGCCCCAGTGGGGGGGGGGGCATATGTTACCACCCTGTCGCGTTTTTTGCGTGTAAATAAAAAACCGCGGCGCTACGCGCCGCGCCGCTTGGGGTAGCTTTTGGTACATCAATTTTGGACAATGTGTGAAATTTTTGACCCCAGGTCATGTCAGGTCAGGTCACCAGGTCAAGTTAACTGACCAAGCCTAAAAAAGTTTGCAATCATGTCCAGCCTGCAGTGTTTGTCAGAAAGGTCTTAAACTTGGTGGATTGCATGATGTTATAGGCACCTACAATTTGTATATCTCGGATTTTTTATATCCGTGACCTAAGGTCAGGTCAGTGGCGTGACCTTTCCATTACAAGTCAATGGAGAAAAATGAAAATGCCTCTAGATCCGTGTGTACGCATAGGAACAGTCCAAATATTTCAGAATCACAATGATTTGGAACACCCGTGATGACCAGGGTGTCATTTTTGCTGATAGCCTCTAGAAAGGTCATCCGAGGTCATTTGAGGCTACAAACAGATTTTTGCCAATAACTCGCGATTGGAAAGAGATATAACGCTGGGGATGGTCTCATTGTGTTTGTCTTGCCGAGACGCATCGACTGATATGCAACATGACCTTGACCTGAGGTCAAATTTTCAAGTTGACCTTTCAAGGTCAACTTATAGTTTATTCGACGCGTCTCGGCGAGAAGAATACGATTCTGGCAATAGAAATGTCGTGGCTTTTTGTTGTCGAAAGTTATTGTCAAAAAACACTTTTCGTAAAATTAACTTTTTTTGGAGTTTTTGCCCTCTGGAGGCTAAACCCGTGACCTGAGGTCAATTTTGATACTGACCTTTTCAAAAGAAGAGTTCAAGAGCTATCGATTGCTTTTCCATGCGTTTTTCTAGCTACCATAGTTCCTGAGATAACGGCATGTTTTCTGAAAAATATAATGACCATTGGCAAATTTTGACCTTTGATGACCTCTGGTGACCCCAATATTGCTCTAAGATGAAAAATGACTGAAATACTTTCAAACGTACGCATTGAGAGCTATCGACTGCTTTTTACCGCGTCTTTCTAGCCCTCTTAGTTTTTGAGTTAGAGGCGGGTGGTAACAATCGCCACGCCATATGTGGAAGGCTTTTGGTGTCAATACATACATACATACATACATACATATGCCCCCCCCCCCCACTAGGGCGAAGTTGGCGGAGACCGCCACTGGGGCGCGGGTTAACTGATTACTGTTGACAGATAAAAGTGCTAACTTTATATACAATTTTCCTGACAGAAATGAAGAGTGGTGCAGTATATAATGCAAAATGGAAACGGACAGTACAAAATCATGCCTTCGGTGTTTAGAAAGACAAGGCGTAAGTGAAGTTAAAGCCCTTCCGAATTCATAAAGTTAACGTGTGGTGATACAGGTAGCATGAAAATATGGGTGAGGGCGTACATACTGTGCAGTGCCTAAGACTAAATACTTACAAAAAAAATGGAACCATACCAAGAGTGACATTAAACTCAAATAAAAAAACGTATGTAAGACCAGCCTTAGACATTGATTCTGACGGGTGGGGGACGCCCACTCGGTCCCGTTGCGCTCTCAGGACCCCCCACCCTCCCCAGCCAAACGAGTATTATTCCATCGGCGGCCTGCGACGTGCTTGGGGTGGACCGTGGCGATTTGCCGCAATCCTAGTGCACTGCCGAAATAATCCCATGATCAGTGCGCATTGTCAGGCCGGTCACACCCCGCAGCGACCAAGATTACGGCCCAGCAGGCCTGACCGGGGCGCACCAAAGTGGGTTATTTGATCCTAAGCTGACAAGTTCAATACAGCCAGCAGCATGCAAGTGGGGTAATGGGGTGCTGAAATTATGTGCTGCAATGGAAAATTTAGTTGATGGAGTTGCATAAAATTTAAAACAGAAGCCACGAGAAAGCCTTCCTGCAATTTTAGGGTATTTCTATTTAACCTCATCATACTCTAAAGTTAGTAAGACAGCCTCGGTCGCCGGATCACCGCATATCGATAATCACCTATGCGCTGTCCTCTAGGTAATCATTACCGACTGCTGTCACGACAGTTCATACTACTCATCATATAATTATGTCCCACGTCCGACACCAGCCCTACGAGCTGAATGTTAGCCCATAATAAATGCCAGTAGGCACAAATAAATCCATCAACTGAAGCAGGGAAGGCAGGAATCGTTTGAGGCCGGAGTGACCATTCACATCACGTATTATCTGCTCAAAGGACTACCTTGGTGTGATTTATGGAACACAGCTGTCATTCGTAGCCCTATGACGGGGCCGGCAGACCAAGAGGGCGAAAACGCCTGTGTCCGGCCACACCGACTGCTCCCGGGTCAATGGCTCAATATGACGTCACTGGGTCAAGAACATCCATCATGGGCTGCTCAGTCATTACGACCGGTTCATAACCCTGATGGGCATTTGACCTTGTGAGAGTACGTCCAATGGTGCTCGTGAGGGCCCATAATTTGCCCAGTATTGTCAAATGACAGGCGTCCTTGCTAAGCAATAGTGCAGTCAATATTCCAGAGGAAATGAGAGAGAAAGAGGTAGAGTTAGAGGTTGATGTGTAGGTTGATGCAGAAGAGAAGAGAAGAGAGAGAAGAGAAGAAGAGAAGGGGGTTTAATACTTTTTACCTCAGTACCTATAGCCTGAAAATATAAAAAGAGCGCAATCATTTACCTGATATTTTATTTAACAGAGAAAGAAATAAAAAATAACTCCTCTTCAATAACCACCTAACCTGAGCAGTGAGCATGGCACATACAACGAATAATTGAATGCCATTGTGATAACAGTTCTGACCAATTTCCTACCAGTGCCTCTGAACCTGCGAAGTTACGGACGCCGCCTACATTTGGATGATCTCACTGGACGCCCTCCCATCATTGTAGCTATCTGTAGCAATTTGTTCGGCTCACCTGGAGAACAAATCACTCGCCGACACCACGTCATGATCGACATTATCCAGATGATTGTCGCTGCTTTGACGTCACTCCCCTGAGAGCAGCATTCGTTCAATACGGGCGACTTTCCCGGCTGGCAGCACGGCATACTGCTCTTATCGGCGGCGTGCTCTGCAGGCGTGCTGGAGGGTCGCCTACTCGTGTCCTGGACCATATCCCAGTCTGAGCGACTCGGTCACACCCTACTCCATTTCACTGATGAGCGGACGGCAGAGGCGGAATGTGCTGTCGAGCTCAGCACCGGCTTTCCTTTGAGAAAGATCAGAGCTATGTAGAATGAGCTGCCATTGATGAATGCGGCTCGCTCTGCGTCGCGTTGGGAGACTTCCATAGCGAGTTAATCTCTGAGAGGTGCAATGTTCTTGCAATGTTCTCGGATGCGTGCAATGTTCTTTTTTCAGCTACGGAAAGCTACCCTCAAAATTGTCTCTAGGTACTTCGCGTGCTCCGGCAAAACAAAGATCGCAATCTAAAACTACTTCACAATGGTAAATCAACTAGGGTGACCCGCGTGCTCCGCAACGCGAAAAGGGGTATTTTCGATCGGCGGGTGTTCGGTTGTTCTTGTGTCGGTTGGGTTATCCATCCATTTCGGTCGATTGCCTTTTGACGGCTAAACGATTTGGTTTGGAAAGAATAGGTATCCATCGCATCGAGGTGCCCGTGTCTGATAAGCACTTGCTTTCTACTTAAGAAAACATGTCAAATTTGTTTTATAATTTATAGTTCGTTTTTTCTAAGTTCGACCCTCACTGTAAACATCTTTTTGAACATAGCACGAGAATTGCTAGCTGAATTACTTAGAAAACTGGTTAGCGCACATTGTACTGGAGGCATGTTTTTTAATCCCACCCAGAAATGACAAACAAGCTCCCTGATTGGCCAGTTGCCGGCCAGTTGGACTTGAGCGGTCGCCATGTTGGTATCGGGGACTCGGCCGGCATCGTTAGGTGTTGAATTATGTGTTTCGTTGTGCTAGATATTGCCAATTTGCTTTGATATTTGATAAATAACGTTGGCTCATTCTTTGGTGACCTTGCATACTAATACGACGATATTTTGATACCGATTTATGCATCAAACATCATGAGACAAATGTGGCGATTTCCACACCCTTTTGCAGTGCTCCCTCCCCTTGTGTAGTGAGTTAACAGGCTTGTAAGAACCAAGTGAACCATTTTTTAGTCAAGTGGTCATGATCGTCCCTACATCTAATGGATAATAGCCTTGCGCAAACTTATAAAGTACTGGAGGAAGCAGAAGTTACGATTTTGGAGTACGCAAACTTGATATTAAAGGGACACTGTATGAGTCATTTGACCTTATCCTCAATACTTTAAGTAAACTGTAATGGCAAAAATACAATACAAAAGCGATATATTTCGAGCACTGCTCTTTCTCAATCGGTTCGGAAGCTAGTATAAATGCAGAACACGTCTCACTTCAAAGTAGCATTTCGTCACATTTGCCGCTTAGCCCGAAATATCATCTATCGCGTGACAACTACATAAATTGCTCTCCCATACCAAAGCACACGATATATTACCCTACATTTGAACACTGGTATGAATACCCATAGTATAAGTTTCACGTATTCACGCTCAAGTTGTCTGTCACCCTACATAATCACCTCCAACTATGCAAGAATTTGCCATGACACTGTGTTGTAGTTGATTTTGGGCCTATGTTCACGAATTCTAATGGATTCTGTAATTTTCCTGTCTGCTTCATCTCTACAAACATTCATGATACGAGCCGTTAATCTGGTGTCATCTGGACAGCTTGACGGATGTTTTTGCACTACATGGTCCCCGAGGGGCGTGCCGGCCTCCTTGTTGATTCCACTTCTGAGATGCTCGTTGTAGCGCAGCCTAACTGGTCTACTCGTCTCCCCAATATAAGTATCTCCACATTCACAAGTGAGCTCGTACACCACGTTTTTAGTCCCACATTTGTCTTTTAAGCCCGCATGGCAGCAGTGACAGCGCCGCAGTCCCGAGGGACATGGCGCTGTCTCCAGGCGTGTCCTAACGAGCCGTCTTTTTAATGTGTTTTCGTTAGTCCATGCTATTTCAATTGGCAGGCCGGAACTTCGCACTGCGCCCTTCACCTGTGCCGCCATTTTGTCGCTGATGAAGGGCAGTCTGAGGTATGTTGTCCTCTTGATCTTCCCTATCCCTCCTTTGTGTTGTCGTCTTCTTTCCCGCTCTTCTCTTCTTCTTCCATTTCTCTCTCTGCTTGCTTCTCTTCCGAAAGTCCTCCATTCTCTCCTTATACATTCTTCCACCATTCTGATTGGATATCCGTTCTCAGTGAAGAGCTGCCTCATCTTATCGATGCCTCTCCGTCGCGCTTCTTGGTTGGAGCCTATTCTGAGTGCCCTGATGATCTGTGACTTCAGTACGGCTCTCTTGGTTGACATCGCATGTGCTGAGTCATAAGGTAAGATAATTGATGCCGCTAATGCCGATAATGGAGGACTTTCGGAAGAGAAGCAAGCAGAGAGAGAAATGGAAGAAGAAGAGAAGAGCGGGAAAGAAGACGACAACACAAAGGAGGGATAGGGAAGATCAAGAGGACAACATACCTCAGACTGCCCTTCATCAGCGACAAAATGGCGGCACAGGTGAAGGGCGCAGTGCGAAGTTCCGGCCTGCCAATTGAAATAGCATGGACTAACGAAAACACATTAAAAAGACGGCTCGTTAGGACACGCCTGGAGACAGCGCCATGTCCGTCGGGACTGCGGCGCTGTCACTGCTGCCATGCGGGCTTAAAAGACAAATGTGGGACTAAAAACGTGGTGTACGAGCTCACTTGTGAATGTGGAGATACTTATATTGGGGAGACGAGTAGACCAGTTAGGCTGCGCTACAACGAGCATCTCAGAAGTGGAATCAACAAGGAGGCCGGCACGCCCCTCGGGGACCATGTAGTGCAAAAACATCCGTCAAGCTGTCCAGATGACACCAGATTAACGGCTCGTATCATGAATGTTTGTAGAGATGAAGCAGACAGGAAAATTACAGAATCCATTAGAATTCGTGAACATAGGCCCAAAATCAACTACAACACAGTGTCATGGCAAATTCTTGCATAGTTGGAGGTGATTATGTAGGGTGACAGACAACTTGAGCGTGAATACGTGAAACTTATACTATGGGTATTCATACCAGTGTTCAAATGTAGGGTAATATATCGTGTGCTTTGGTATGGGAGAGCAATTTATGTAGTTGTCACGCGATAGATGATATTTCGGGCTAAGCGGCAAATGTGACGAAATGCTACTTTGAAGTGAGACGTGTTCTGCATTTATACTAGCTTCCGAACCGATTGAGAAAGAGCAGTGCTCGAAATATATCGCTTTTGTATTGTATTTTTGCCATTACAGTTTACTTGAAGTATTGAGGATAAGGTCAAATGACTCATACAGTATTAACTATGATTTTCCTCATAACGCTGAACTTAATTAAAGGGACACTCCCACCTTAACATTAGTTTTGAGTTGAGATAGCCAAATTGGTGGCCATGGCCTGCAAATACCGGTTTGGGCACTCACAACATCGAAAAATGCTTTAATTCGAAGATATGGAATTTCAAACTTGCAGTTTTTGGATTCTAAGGGGCTAATGCATTGGAATGCCCCCTTAGAATTTGTGACGTTAGCGGAGATCTAACGATTTTTAAATCTTAGACTAAAACCATCGTTAACACGTGGTGGTATACGCTGCTTTGCGCGCAACGTCTGCCGCACTTTAAGGCTGCCAAATTATTGCTTCCAAATAAAGTCGCTAGTAACAGGGGAGATCCCAAAAAGTAAACAAAAGTAAAAGCCTAATATCTTGAAAACCAGTGAATATTTTTCGGTGAAATTTGGTAGATATTCGTTTTCGCTCTTTCTGAACCAAGGGACATCACTTTCATGCCAATTCATTAACTTTTTTGAAGGTGGGAGGGTCCCTTTAAAAAATCTCAGGTATTTTGGCTATATAAAGTGAGAAGAAAAGTTCAATTGATAATTATTTATTACAATTGCAATAATGATAATATCATGATAATTGTACTGTCAGGTATTGATAATAGTCATGTCACGTCATGCCACTAACCAGGCACACAGACACAACACATTTTCATCTTTATGTATCTAGGCATAAGGTATTACAGGCATGTTTTTGCAAGTACCTACATGTAAAGGGATGTAGATACAGTTAGTCGGGCACTCTTCTTAATTCAGTTTTGTGCACCACTTCCTGCTTTCACCATGCTGTGCCCACTCTGCTTTACAGTGGACAGCTGCTTCTGTGACACACATTAATCTTGCGTTCATTGAAACACTTAGTTTTGAGTGTTTTGACTCAGTTTTGTTGTAACGTTACCTGTGTTTATATTTTCAATAACTTGTTTTGGGCTTCTCATATTTATCTTTTTTTCTTAGCTTAGCAGGTTTAGTGTAAAACAAGTTTTAGCTCACATTTTACATGTTAAGATTACATGAGTGCATACATTTTATAAAAGCTAGTTTGATTTGTTTTTGACATCAAGTAAGATTTGATTTTTGTTTCTGAGATTCCAATGTTATTTGTGGCAAATATTTTCCAAAAATCCTCCATCTAAAGCTTCAACTGAATTCTAAAATGCCTGCATTTTCTACCAGAAACATTATCATTGATACCTCCTACAATATTTCATTTTGTCACCAGGTGCCTGGACTGGTGAAACGTGAAAACTGAAATTCATTCATGTCACCATTATCCTACGACCTAATTTTTTGGAATGGAATTGAATGGAATTGATCTTGTTTCACAAACGAGTTGCACATTGTACAATGTCTATCAGCTGATGTCTATCTCTCTTTCAGCACAGAAGATCCTCAGTCATAGTTAACAAAATGGAAAAAAATTAGCTGTGTTTTTAAGATTCCAGTGGTGGCCATCAACTGCTCAGGAAAGCAGCCCAGAATCACTTCACAACAGGTATGTTGATGCATGTACATTGTACATTAACATCAATGTCTGAATGCTGAAGAATTGTTGAACAGGGAACACATTTACCTAGCCTCTAAAAACCACAAATCCTACATTACTTACATAAACATTTTTCTATAGAACTTATATTATCTACTTTCATCTGGCTAAGACTTTTTTACATTATATTCCCTCTGTTAAACATGAAAATATGATGAGTTATAGACTAGTATAACAAGCTGGTAATTATATCTGCCTTGTCAGCTTGGCCAACATCTGCATCATGTCTATCACAAAATATGACTGCTTTCCTGACATTTGCATTTGTTCCACTCACCAATTGACCACTTCTACCATCTGCTTGCTCTATGCACAGACATTGTCATAGGGTCTGTTCCAGTCGCACTTCCTAACACCTCTTAACTCCTCCAAGATTGCTTCCCTGTTCCAGTGGCAGCTTTCGCCCCTACAAAGCCAAGAAGGGCCCTGCTCCAACCTCCTCTATCTTGCTCTTTGAGGAGTTTAGATGTGTTAGGAAGTGCGACTGGAACAGACCCATAGCAAAACAGTTTCATCTCCCTGAGTCTGTACTGTCTTTTTCCAGGTTTCCAAAGGATCATCATTCATCAGCACAGAAGGGTGGGAAAGAGAAGGCTGTTCAAATTCTGAAAAGCCAGAGCTGCAAAGGAGGTCAAAGATGCAGTGCAGTTGGCCCACTCAGTAGAGTTTCACTAGTGGTTCTGATGTGGACTGAAGATTACACGCTGGATTGAAGTGGCCGGTCTGGAGCAGCTGTAGTTCATCATTCTTGCTGATTGTGGACGAGTAAGAGCCCGCGTTGGCCCCGATCGGCGATCGCTGGCCAAAGCCTACCACCAGTTTGGTGATAGGCGTTGGCTGTGATATCTAGTGTCGCCTATGTGTGAAAAGGACAAGTTGATAACAAAACCTGTTGCGCCATGTTATTAACCTGCGCCCGGGTGGCCCTCAGCCAACTTGGGGGGGGGGGGGGGTGTATTCGGCCACACTAGGTTATCTTGGAATGTAGCAAAGCTGGAAAGACGCAGTAAAATCAATCTATAGATCGCTATTTTTCTTCAGAATCATACAGGTCATTTTTTATCAGGTCATCGCTGAGGTCACTGGAGGTCACCAAAAGTAAAATGATGACGAATTTTGGCCCCCGATTTTGACAACTTCACAAATTGGTTCATAATTCGGGAACCAAAGAAGCTACAGCGCCGCGGAAAAGCGAATTCGATAGCTCTTTCGAAAATCTTTCAGGTTCTCAGATTTGAGCTAAGGTCAACTAGGGTTAAGCCTCCAAAGGGCAAAAACTGAACAATCGGCTTGCTTCGGAAGTCGTCTTTTCTTTAAAGAAATTTTAAACTGATACCAACCTTTTATTACGTTGATTTTACCGGCACTGCGTTTCTCTCGTCTTCTTGGCCTAACAAGGTCAGCTTAATAAATTTGACCTCAGGTCAATGTCACAGAAAATGCCATTTTGCATGTCATTGATTCGTTACATTGAAATTGAGATTAACATCAGTAGCGGCGGAACACCTTCAATCGAGGGGGCATTGCCGACTTTTGGTCTCATTCTTTCCATGCAACGGCCATAGGGCTAATGTTAAAATGCCAAAATCAAAGGGGGCACGGTGCCCCGGTGCCCTCGGCCTGTTCCGCCGCCTATGATTATGATGCTTTTAGCGCTCTGGCCACGTTCCATCTAAAATCGATGTACAAAAATAAACTGTTGGGACTTGGGAGGCGTTACATGACCTGAGATGACCTCAGGAGCATACGATAGATCCCGATGTTTGAGTGCTTTTGTTTCAAAAGCAGAACATTTCGTCTTTCGAGTTCCTCATACTGACTGAAACTGGAGACGTCGCAAAGTTGACCTGACCCTAGGTCACCACCGATATCAAAATTAAAGATATTCAAGATGTTGGTACTGATTCTCTCATGCAATAGCTCGAGTTTCAAACTTCTACTTCATGGTGACCTGACCTGACCTTAGGTGACATGGGGTTACTTTTTTCACAATTGATGCGAATCGATGCATTATACATAAGCTATACTAAGTTTCGTGTCGTTTTATCTATGCAAGCAAAAAATTGTCAGGTGTGGCCAAAAACGCCCCCACGGCCCACCCACCTGGGGAACGTTAAAGCAGTGATGTATTTTTTTCGGTGTATTCCACGATGCATCGATCGGTGTACTTGATAATGTATTATTTATTGCTGCGTGTGTACGCTTTTCCTCTGTTCAGTGTGATCTGTGATAGGAAAACTACCGATATATCTCCACGCGCATGACTGAAAGAGCTGGCGTGATCTATAATATTGGGTGTCTGTTTTTGTTTGGCATTTTATAAATAATAAGTCAGCTGTGATCGTTTGATGAGACACTGGGACAGCCGGCCTGTATGATCAGCGAACGGCAGGCGGCGGGGCAGTGGTCCGGTGGCTGCTGGATGGGACTGACACCAGCAGATTCAGAGCTGCGATACGCGGACGTTATGTTCACAATACCTTTGCAAAGTAATATCTGATAGATATCATTTCCTCGAAAATGTTCTTCAATCAATATGATTTTACCTCCTGGCTTATTCCATGGGGGCCGAAACCGATCGTTTTATGCACGCCTTTTCTGGGCCTCGTTCTCCTCTAAATGCGTGTAGGTAGCAATTTTATTCAAGGGACGATTGAAAGTGCCTCCGATTGGTTTTCAGCGTAGGTGGGATATGGCCGTTGAATGTGAGGCAGTCGATAAGGAACGTCGAGCTGGAACGGTCATTGGGTAGGTACTAGGTAAGGTATGTGAAAGGCAGCAGTGGAAAACAAGGAAGGGAGGCGTTTGGTGTGAGGTTTCAAATGCTCTATGCATAAGAAAAGTTCATTTGATCATATGACACCGTCCTTTTTATCGCGATACGTGAGCAACGCATGAGACGCTCACTGTTCAGACTTGTAGCGTTAGAGACAGGCTGAGAAGGGCTATTTCCGCGAAAGGATATTCTGGAATTTTAATTGAAAGGCATTTAGTTTTGAAAGCATCAGTACTTCTTAACACGATACTGACTCATTTAAAATTTCAATTTTTCCCCATTGCGATAGCATAAGAAACAGAGACTGCGGTGTCCCCGTACGCAGGATTCTGGAGACTGTCAGGCGGATGTTAGTAGCTAAAAGCTTTTGTTCTTTATTTAACAGATAACAATCATTTCTTTTAATACTTTGTAACACCTAACTCACCAGAAACAATCTCTACGGGCTTCCAAAAGTGTTATATTTAACATGTTAGATCCAACATAATATTTTAGCTGCCCTAACCTGTAAATGTAACGGATGCGTCATTATTGAAAACGTGCTAAAGCATAGTATTCTATTGCTGACAAATATTCTGCGTCTGTCAGCCAAAACTGGCCAATCAGAGGCTTTGTTTGTCATTTCTGGGTGGTATTAATAAACATGCGTACTGGAGATCAAGGCCCTAAATACAAGGTTGCACGGACTTATTTCTACTAAACCTACCAGAATATAGTTTCACGGTTGATTATTTAAATAATTATTCAATCAAAATTTCTTTATTATTATCTCGTAATCATTTATAAGCAATTTTATAAATCAACTTTCAATTTGCTTGCCTTTTACTAGCAAAATAACCTTTAATATAATAAGAGATATTAACCTTACTCTCATATTAGCCAAAAGATATAAAATTTCAAAAAGACAAAATACAGTTTCGGGAGCTTTCGGCTTTGCGCCTTTATCAACCGTTATGTATTATTTAGATCATTTTCGTCACAAACTTGCATGGAACAGAAAATTCGAATTGGTACGAACATGCAGAAATCACACACGCACTTCCCAGCTACTCTTTAAAAACGCATCTATGCAAAACTTACAGAGACATAAAAGATTTATCTTGAAGTGCAGAACAAGATAGTCATGTCGAAAACATGAGTCATACGTTCAGCGGAGATAGTATATATCGTGGGTACATCATCAATAATGGGTCCCGACCCCCCGACCAACATTAAAAATATGGAGATAAGCATATATGAGGTAAGTACATGCATGCATACGATAACAGAAGTGTACAACAGCACAACCGCACGGCGCACACCCGCGCACACAAGTTTCCACGGTCAGTCAGTTTAGATATAATGACCACTCAGATGATAGGCCAAGACGAGGTTTGCGTGTTAAGAGTGGGTTGAAGTTCGCGAATAAAAATGGATTCCCAAATTTTTCTATCTGGGCCGTCTTTTGACACATGCAGAATCTTGATTGAGACGTTTGAGCAGTCCAGTTGCACAGAGTGTTTCGTTTGGTGAAGGCCAAAAGGGGTGTCTAGTTTGTTGTTTTTTGCATCTCTCATGTGTTCATTATATCTAAGCCTGACAGATCGGCGTGTTTCACCGACATACACAGACTCGCCTTGTGCGCACAGTTGACATTCCATCTGGTACACCACATTCTTTTCATGACATCTCCCACGCAACCCTGCCTCACAGCATGGACACTTCCTGCCCCCACCTGGGCAGGGTGCTGGTTGGTAGGCCGCCCGCACTAGTTTTTGTTTCAGGTTGGGACCTCCTTTCCATGCAACTTTCAGGTTGAGGTGACTAGCCCTAATGATACCCTCAATCCTGTGGCTGAGTGCATCATCAATGAATGGAAGCGCAAGATAGACGGGGGCAGAGCCCGATCTAGTCGGCCTTAGGCGGTTATCACGTTGGGCTTCGTGTTGGAGCCTGCTAACTAAGTGGGGCGGGTAGCCGTTCTTTGTGAATAGGTCATGGATGAGTTTAAGGCTACGGGCTCGTGGTAGACCAGGGGAAGAGATTTTGATAGCACGTAACGTTTGTGAGCGGACGGCGTTTTTCTTAGTCGACATTGGCAGAGCTGAAAGGTAGTGAATTATCTAAAAACCATTCAACAAAATAACTTTTCTAGTATTGGGTCAACATAGTGGTGTAGCAGTAGGAACCACATCTGGCAAAACCCCAATGCCTACACACAGCAGAAAAGCAGCCACCAGGTGTCGCCACAGTCGCCACTTGGTCGCCACACAGATGTCGCGCGCGTCGCCAATCGCCACACTACCGATTTCCATAAGGTCGCATATGTACGGATATGTATAGGAAAATCGCCCTTAAGGATCACGCTTACATCCTTTGCTTATGAGGTCGGTGGTTGGAAATTGGGAGGGGCTCAGCTATTTTCGACCACAGATATGCCTTTATCACATGATGAGGAACATGCTGATAAGCGTTTTATGCGTCATAACAGCACAAAAGTATTTTTAATCATTTTTCAAAAATAGCCGTTCTGCCGTATCTTTCAGTGCAAGGTGCCGTCGGTCATCCCCGACGTGACGTCACGCAGGGAATTTGCCAGATTTTCCTACTAGACTTCGACACCCCCTGCTGGAGATATGAATAATATTTTCCAAATAAGTTTTTAACACCAATGATATAGCTATCTGTGAAACACCGTGCGATTTATTGATTCGTTCAGTTATAATTTCTGACAAGTCGCCTATCCCTGTGGGGTTGTATATATTGGTAAATATGAGCTAGGAGTCTGCGAAATAAGAGCCATGAAGAAATAACTTTGAATCACATTAATCGTCTGTGAAATTTAAGTGCGCCAGCCAGTTTTCTAAGTAATTCAGCTAGTATTTCTCGTGCTATGTTCAAAAAGATGTTTACAGTGAGGGTCGAACTTAGAAAAAACGAACTATAGGTGCGTAGTTTTGTGACAAATGAGAGGCGTAGATAATTTTCGCTAAAAATGGTTTTGGAGAGGTTTGAAACAATTTTATTTCTAAGAATAATGTTGCTGGTCATGCAAACGTGATGATTGGATCTTGGAGAGAATTGAATGCTCTTTCTAATGATAGCATTTTCAATTGTCAAACGTATCAGGTTAAGCAGCAAATCCCGTGTAATTATTTAGTGGCACATTATGGACAAATACCATGTTGTCCAGCGATTTTTTCCACATTATTTTTGATCAATTAGCTTTTCACAATTTTCCCATGAGAGGCGGTACATTTGTCTTGCCAATAGGCATTGTTTTAACTCCCTCAGTCTGACGGTCACGTGAAAATAAAATAAAATAAAAAACCCGTCCGAAGCGTCGATCTTTCAAACAAAAGTGCCCACACAGGTGCACGTGGTGCGTGCCATCCCCTGCACCGCACACCATTCGATAGCCCGTTTGATTCTCTACACGATGCTGTTTTCCCCGTGACGATCGGGCGCACGGTTACCGAAATATTGAACGGGGACCGAACCCGGGTCGGCCAAATTTAGCCATTTTCGCCCGTTTTTGCAAGCTGATTTATACATGTAAAGTCTATGACGCGAATTTGCACTTTTTGGGCAGGCGCCACGTGCTCGCTATCGATCCGATCGTGCTGAGACCCATCAAAGGCACGTTGTCCATCCTTGTTCTATGAGTTGCGCAAACTTCAGCGCGGTAGGTGCAACGGTGTGACCTGTAGCCCGCGCTACGCAGCACCATGTCGCGACCTCGGTAACAGACAGAAACTACGCCACCACAAATAGTAATATAGATGATAATCAATGATAGCCTTGAAGCCCTCAATTTTGTTTGTAACATTTGTCAGCTGTTCCGACGTTGGATGACATTTTTCAAACTAATATCATTGTCCATAACTGTGCTCTGTGATCAGAGAATGTTGAAGTATGTAGATATCGATTAGATTCCCAACAGAGCTATCCCACAGCGTCTGGGTCGTTTTGGTAGATTAGAGACCTAGCGTTGGCTATTTTTGTTATCATTTATTTGCTATCTCCATGTAACATCTTGCCGACCTGTATCTGGTTCAATTACTAGCTTGATAGGTACAATTATCTGCACAATTACTTCTGGTTCACCAAAACTGTTCTTCGTCACCTGATATCAGGACTTCACCAAGCTCCAGGGAATCGTTGCTTAGTATTCACGTACGTCTACAAGTTCTGGTGATGACCAGGCAATGACCCAAGTTGAGCACGTTTAACACGGAACAGGACCGGCCAATATCTGCGCGTCGAGCCGTGTTGAACAGTTAGTTCGGACAGCGGCTGGTCGACCGACGTTCCCGGAGGGAACGAGGTATTGCTGCTCAGTGCTGCTCATTAACTCAGAACAGGGTTTTAATTGCAATTAATAACTAAACTTACAGAGCTATTAAAAGCGCAACCAAGTTTTCTATGGACATTCCTTTGAGTATCTTATCCATTGAACTTCGTGAAACTTAGATCAGCCGAATTCAATTTTGTATTTGAAGCAGTGGTTTCTCATATTTCGTGCCTACCTTTGTAATTAGACGTGAACTTGTAAATTGCACGGTGATAACAGCTATAAAT